TTAAGGGGAAAAATCATCGAATGAATTCTCCTGCCTAGTGTCAGACTCTTACTGACTAAAAGCCGGAGCCCCGGTAACTTGCTGCGTATCAACATCAGCCGTAATAGACCTCATCCGTGGTGGACTTACTGGCTCTTTGAGCGCACGCGAAACGCGACGGACGGATCTTATATTTAATGCATGCTTTTTTAAACCATAAAACATGATTATTATTGGGTTTTTTACGTGTTACATTGTTGTACGTGAAGCACAGCAGATATCTCCAGAGCCGACTAAAGAACTAGGTATAACATAACATCATCACGCCTTTTATCCCAGAAGGGGTAGGCAGAGGCGCACAGACGGCACTTAATGCCACTATACAATGTAACACCCACTTTTTCACTATTTATGTTATGAGTCCCATGTAATAGGGGTGAGCCTATTGCCATATACCGGGCACATGTCCAGACTCCGTGCTACTACTGAGATTTTTAAAAACCCAGTAATACTTTGCCCGACCTGGAATCGAACCCAGGACTCCTTGCCTGCAGTCGCACTTGCAACCACTCGGCCAACGAGGCAACTCAGCGAACTAGGTACACATTTATTAAAATGCGGACATATTAACAACTACAATCCGCCTACCAAGCGAGGAAGATTGAGCAAAATTCTTCTTAGTCACAGGAGGTCCATAGTCCAGGTCTTGCACTGGACTCTAGCGAGCTATTTTCCTTCAGAACAACAGTACACCTAGCCATATCATGCTTTTTACTCACTCCTCTAGAGCTATGTTGACGAGGACTCAACTCGCTAGTGGCGCCACCTAGCCTTCCCAAAAACTCCAGCCAACTATTGTACTAATTCTTCTAGTACATTTTAACAGATTCTCTGTGCCGACCCCATTACCTTATCATGTTATACCTCATATCTTTTAAGATATTGCCAAAGCAAACTAACAATGTTTGTCCAGCCTCTCATCTGTTAAATTGTTATCAATTTTGAACCCTATATCCTGTGACAAATGGTTTCATTTCTCGAATCTTCTCTTTCAGAAATAGGACAAATGGTTTTAGGTTTTATTTCTTAGATAGGAAGGTTTATAATGCAGTGGTTTTGTAAAATAGGTGCGTAAGATGTGATGCGGTGTTGAGATAATGAATTAAAATCAGTGTAGATAGTTAAAATATGGTTGTTAGTATGAAATTGTTTGATAAATGAGGGCTGTAATACTTTTCAGCCATTCTAGTAAGTATCTGTATCTCTGCAAGAAAATGATTTAATAGAAAGGTATACGTTTAACCCTTTGAGTACCGTCATTATAGACATAATTAAAGAACAATAGGTTGCGGTCACCGGTGTCCTCGCGGTGTTTGACAGTTTAATTCATCTCTAGGTACCTCTCAGCAGTATCGTCTTTACTATAAGAGCACTTGGGGCGCATGTCGAGGGCTTCCACCCTCAGGGGGCCCCGAAAATATAATTTCTACGACGGACACACACCCACTACAACTTACAGCGGGTTTGATTCCGACACTGAGAAATCTCTGTGTGTTCCGCAAATTGTTGTTTCTGGTTTGGGTTAAAAGAAAAAACAAAAAAAACATTCCACAAGGGCCCCAAGTTATTATATGTCCACGGGCCCCAACGTAGTCTAAGACGGCCCAGTAAGAAAATAAGTACCTTACTTCCTTTTCCCTAGGTTCGGAGGCAAACGGACGAGCGGTGGACAAAACTCATTACTGAGTGGAGCTCAATGTAAATAGACGTCGCGGTAGGCCCAGAAGGAGATGGCGGGATGATCTTGACGCCTGTCAGAAGGATTAGCCACTGAAAGCTCTACGAAGAGAATAGGGCAGGGAGGCATTTGCCCTGCAGTGGGACGACCATGGCTAATAAAAAAGAGGGCAACCGAATAAAGTATTTATTCGTTGGTAGGTGATTAGTGCCGTCCGTCAACAAAAACACAATTGACAATAGTGTGTTATCATATTTAGCTTGAGGAGGGAACAGGGTATGACTGCATTGTTGATGCGGTGGCTGGGTATCCGGCTGTCGTTGAACGTGCCGCGGGTTCGATTCCCGCACGGAACAAAACTTTATGTGATTCACAAATTGTTGTTTCGGGTCTAGGTCTGATGTGTATGTGAACTTGTATATTTGTAAACGCACCCACGACACAGGAGACAATGCTAGTGTTGGGCAACGTTTTTTTTTTAAAAAAAGGTCTTTTCTCATTTGGCTGTAATCTACTCGTTTTTAACCGACTTCAAAAAGAAGGTTCTCTATTTGACCGATTTTGATGTGGTTTTCAGAGTAACGATTGTTACACTTAGGAGGTTTTAGCACCTATTTCATTTCCAAACTTTATGCCTCGTCCAACAAAACTATTCGCTCTTTTCGTGGACAAAGGCACAAAGGTCTTATATGTTATAGTTCTTATATAAAATATACTTATACATCACTACATAGTATAAAACAAAGTCGCTATCCGCCGTCTGTCTGTCCCTATGTATACTTACGCAACGGATTTTGATGCAGTTTTTTTAATAGATAGAGTGATTCTTAAGGCAGGTTTAAATGTGTAATTAGTGGAAAGTAGGTGGTACATTGTACAGTGGCATAATGTGCACCTCTGCCCACCCCTTTGGGGATAAAAGCCATGATGTTATAATGTTATGTTATTCCTACCCAGGAGATAAAAGCCGTAAAATAAAGATTTATTTCTATTACTTATATAAAACTGAATAGTTTGTTTCTTTGAACGCGCTAATCTCTGAAACTACGGAGTATTTATCGAGAAAGGCTATAGGCAATAAAACGTCACGCTGTCACCAATAGGAGCCGAGTAGACCGGGCAGAACCGCGCGGGAGAAGCTAGTGATGAATAAAGTGAAAAGCTCAACCTAACCATTTTCCAACGTATAAAATGCTTTCGATTGCCGTAGTACGTAGTTCGTGTTACATAAAATTCAATAATAGTATAAACAGAACCCAATGCTTGCATTTACTCGAACGAATCAATGAGATAGTTTTAATAAGGAGGTCGTCTGATGTTTAAGTTGAACTCCATGAATGTTGCTGTTGTGAGTTCCGAAATAAGAATATCAATCAAAGAGTATAATAAGTATAGGGGATGGAATACAGGAATAGAGGGCTAAACAAACTGGCGAACCTGTAAAAAAATAAAAATAAAAATAGCCTTTATTCTACCATAAAATCTCATGCACTCAAATCAATATTATTGTTTCATTAAATTATTACGTTACGTTTCGATTAATAATATCATTTCAAATTAACTAAATAAAATAGAAATAAAATTCCCAGTAAAGTTACTAATTAGTTTGTGGAAGTCGCCTCAGTGGCGTAGGCCTGCCCCAGTTTTCTCCATTTAACTCCTCGCTTCTCCCATGTGGTCCCATAAATCTCAACAAAAATATCTTCCCATCTTCTTTGTCGTCTACCTTTATTTCTTTTCCCATCCCATGGCATTCAATCCATAATCTTTCTGGCCCATCTATGGCATGGCATCCTACACACATGTCCTGCCCATTTCCATTTAAGATTCCTTATTTTGTTGTGTACCTATGTCAGTTACCTGTGTTTCTTTTCGGATGGTTACATTTCTTACTTTTTCCAATAGCATTATGCTGAACATGCTTCTCTCAATTTTTCTTTGGTGTAAAGATAGTTTGTTTTCATCTGTCTTACGTAGGGACCATGTCTGGCAAGCGTATGTCAGGTATAGTAAGATCACCATCTCATAAAGTTTACTTTTTATTTTTATGTCTATACTAGCTTTTACCCGCGGCTTCGCTCGCGTCACAAAAGGATATAAAGTAGCCTAACTATGTGACATAATTATACCAATACACACAGCGCCATCTATACCAATATTTTTGTTTTCCCTCGGGAATATCAAATTTTCCGGGTTAAAAAGTATTATTTATTATTATTTAATCCGGACTTCAAACTTTACGTCTGCAAAATTTCAAAGCAATCGGTTTAGTAGTTACGGCGTGAAAGTGGAACAAACAAACAAACAAACTCACTTTCCGATTTATAATATTATAGTAAGGATTTCTGTTTTTGTATTGCCCTATTAATACAACTTGGTTCATCGCGTTTTACCTATCGTTTATAGCATGTTTAAAGACTTTCGTTTCCATAATTTTCCATAAAATTCTTCTAGGTACTGCTAGCGACATCTTTTGTATCATTTCTGAATGAATACAATAATTTATAAAAGCACAAAAAATCCTAAGAAAATCTCTGTTACATCGAAGTACGTTCAAATTGTCCTCGACTCAACTATTTTTCGTTACCGACACGATTCAAATCGAAGTTTTCGTTCTCGCGATTTCTAAAATGAAATATGAATAATAGCGCCATCTATTAATGGAAAACAGATAAATATTTTGACATCTGTCAGACTTAAAATACAAAAAAATTTAAGAATACCTGTAGCCATGTAAATTGTAGTCTACTTAATTTTTTGATGCATTTACATTTTATTTGAGATTTAAAGTTGTGAGAAATGAATTAATTCACAAGGACGTAGAAAAAAAGGCGGACGCAATGTCACTTTGAATTGACATCATGATTGAAGCACCAAAATGACGGCGTTGTATATTGATGTGTGCGTGTGTACTGTGTAATGGGCTCGGAACAATAACTAGACATGGGTTACCACGTTACCAGTCAAGAAAATTGCCCAAATACCTATAATAAATCGAATAAATATTTTTGATGTTTTTGACTAAGGTGTATTTTTATGTGCTGCTTTTTACCGTGAGATATATTATTACTTATGTATTTAACGCGGCTTATACAACATTCACAGGACACGGGGATAATTTTATTGGAATACCTACCAAAATTGATGAAAGAAAACTACCAAAATCAGGTAATGTTTAATATTTATTTACATCAACAGAAATATTTGAATCCCATATATTTTGACACCTGGTTCATTAAATAATAATTACCAGAGGATTTTCTTCTTAATATTTTTGATAATTCTATGAATAACAATAGGGGATAACTTCTTTCACAGTGCAGGTTTTGTAACAGCACTCGTCAACAATACCACGTTTGCCGCGAACCCCACTAAGTGGCCGCAATGCGTCCGCAGACATCCACCACCCAGCATCACGCTTCTGTTCTAGATGATCCTCGCACACTTTGAGCACTCGATTAGAAAGTCCACGGCCACAGTAGAACATACCACTCTGCACCTCACACCAGAAGCTAGTCATTGCTACCACAAAGATCAAAGTCAACTTCATCTTGAGAATAGTAGACCCAAACAATTTTGGTAGGTGATACTTATGATGTATGATCCACGAGTGTGGTTCAAATGTGCTGATATTCAGTAATTCCTAGCTTTTATACCTGGAACTAGCTCATTAATATTCAGACAAATATTAATAGAATCTAAGTGCAGTTTGTGCGCATAAGTTATGTAAAATTTACCTCATCTGCCACCTTAGCTTTCCATGTCATTTAGCATCTGCATAATACTCTCTTATCGGAACTAGGTGAGTCGGAAACAATGTAGTATGGATAATAGGAACTGACAATTTTTACCTAAGACGTGGATAAAATAAAATACATTTCTTATTTCTAAAAATTATTTATCTCATTTAATTTTTCTATGGGATAAGCCGGTAAATGCGTAGACGGATCATCTGATGGTAAACAATCGGCATCGCCCATGGACACTCGGAACACCAGAGGTGTTATAAGTGCGTTATCGGTCTTTTGAGGATTAGGAATTTGAGGATTGATGGGGATTCAGTCAGGTAGAGATTGGAGAGGAGATACCTCTCAACCTCAACTTGATTATCCATAATGAAATTAATAAACGCCCTTTAGCATAAGTGCAGAAAAATAGATTATCTTCTTTTAGGTTTATCCAATAATTCTTCCATGTATTATTTGTAGCGTAAAATTTATCAAATACAAAATAATAATTTCGACTGCAGGGTTGGTGTAGTGGCTGGGCAACCGACTGCCGTGCAACGTGTCGCGGGTTCGATTCTTGCACGGAACAACACTTTGTGTGATCCACAAATTCTTGTTTCGGGACTGGGTGTCATTGTGTATGTGAACTTGTATGTTTGTAAAAGCACCCATGCGCACAGGAGGAAATCCTAATGTGGGGGAACGTTTTTTTTTTAAAAAAAAACAATGAAATTTTAAGTTCAAAGATATGGTACTTTTCATTTATCCAAATTCGGAGTAACAGAAAATGTGAAAATGTTACTCGTTAAAGCCAAGTCAAAGAACAAACGTAAAGACATACTTCACGAACAAACTGTGTTTTGCTCTCACATAATACTTCTTTTCCATGTTTAAGTAAGATTTTAATTTTTAAACACATATTTTGGTAGTATTTCTACATTCGACGTTGGCAACCCAGTGCAATATACTGTCAAGAATTTTAACAATAGCTCAATCAAATGACATCTGGATTCTTCTTTCATTCGCAGTAGTCAGCGGGTGCGAGTACGTAAATAAAATTAATTAATTTCTTTCCAAATATCGAATAAAATCACTCGAAACTTTTGTTATTTTGTCAGATAACAATTTTACACTATATTCTGTGTTGACAAAACCGCGCGGGTGTTCTTTAAAATTCAAATCAATTTTAGGTTATGTAAAGAGGTAGTTTACGTAAAAGTGCTTTTTTTAATCGTGTTTATGAATTAGTTGTTTGTTTTGCAGCTCACACACTGGTTTGGACACAATGAGAACGACACAAATTGCCCAGTACGCCTTAAGACTCACATATTCGCAGGTATGAACACTTTCTTTTTTTTAACATTTTTACCCTCGTGTGTTGAATTTTGTAACCAAAATAGTTACGTATTGTGTTGTAAAGAAGCACTACTATTTTAATAGCAATCTAGATTTGTGCTTTGGTCGAAGAGAGCAACAAATTTAGACAATACTTTCATTGATTATTTTCTTTCACAACTTTACGAAAGTGTAATCAAAACACAGAAAATAGGTTCATACCAACCTCATTAGATCGTTCTAGTGCTTCAAAGCCCTAACGGTACTTCTCAGATTCTAAACTTACGACCACTCATAAAAAAATTACTTCAGTTTTGATTTCCCTGTACTAACGGGTGAAAATTAAAGACAATTATATCTTTTACAGACAGAGAACTTAAGAAGGGCTTTACTCTTATTTTCTACTAATTTTTGGATGATAAATACAGTGCTTGAAGTTTAGACTTTCATTTATCTTGCTAACATTTGCAAGAATAAAGTCAGTCACCTTTAAATTGTCAAACACCGCGCGGTCACCGGTGACCGCAACCTATTGTTCTTTAATTGTGTCTATAATGACGGTACTCTAAGACTTAAATTGCTATTTAACTAATTGATAAAGTTAAAGTTTTTCATATGAGGGTAAGCAGAGGCAATTGAGATTGAATAAGTTACCTTGTTAGTGAATAAATATATTTACTATACACTAGCTCCAAACTATTGTTTAGTCAAGCTATTTCATAATTATCTAACAATTTGTTTAAGTAGTAGCAGTTAAAACATGTTGATGTTGACAATGGAACTAAGGTGTGTATCCAATCAATCATTTGTTGATAAAATACTATCAGTTGAGCCTGAATGGATATAAAAAAATAACAAAAGAGGTTTTGCTGTGGTGAGAAAAAAGTATTTACTTATATAATGCAAAACCTCAAAAAGTAGGCAGAAACAGTATTGTAATCTATTGTATGCATACATGCACTTTTAATTTGTTGTATTTACTAATAACTATTGAAAAGAGGGGTTGCTTTTATTTTGTTGATAGGTAGAGGGCTTAACCCTGTGGGAATTAAAAGCATGATGCCTTTGCACATGGCACATATTAACTTGTTGAAAATTGTTGAAATTCATCCCCTAAATTTGTTTATACAAAAGTAGTAATAAACTTAGTGGAGAGTGGTCACTGGTGACCACTTGGGGATATACATTTAATAAAATCCTGGACTGAGAATTACAAAATATATACACAAAATAAGAATTAAACTGCTTCTTGTCCTGAACAAAAGAGTTCAAAATTTGTAGTACTAGCTATTCCCGCGGTTTCACATGCTCTGCTCGGCTCCTACTGATCAGAGGGTGATGTTTTATACCTATATGTTTTTTGATAAATGCACTATACAAAACAAAAATATTTTCAAATCAAACCAGTATTTCCAGAGCGATAGATCCATTAGAGTTTCCACATCCATTAGTGTTCAAAGAAACTCCAACTTTATATAATAAACTTTGTATAAGAGTACAAGAGACAATACAATAGTATAAAAGTGTAAGATAATATGTAGTATTTATTAAAAACTACTTGGTTTAAAGTGTTAAGTAGAAACGCAATCATTAGTAATTAATTAGTTTTGTTTGTGTAGGTAGGTATACATTTAATCAGTAATTCAATACTAAAATACTCATTTCCTGAAATTAATCACCTATTTTTAATTGTTATAAAGACAATGGGTTTTTAATGTGTTAATTACAGTGTTCGGAATGGGAGTTTCAGAAACTGTTAATGACAATCATGTTGAAGCTTTATAATACTGAATTTCTCGAGAAGTTAGGTAGTTCTATAATATCGGCATCTGCCTAATTCTTACCTGAGACTGCTTATTGTGCCTTGCATCTGTGTGAGTAGTAGCTAAGAGCCTCGGACTCCTTCATGCGATTCAGTTCTTGACAATAGTGAAATTCCTATGGTAAAAACCTTAAATTTTTCCTTAGAACCAGTTCTAACTTTTAAGACATATAGACAATTAAACAATATATAAATTCAACAGACCATTGTCTTGGTAATAGTTGAGAATTACGATGGGACTAAAAAGTTATTAACCCATTGAAAATAATCCCCTAATTTTCTTCATACAAAAGTAGTCTCTAAACATTGGAAATAAGGTCTATAATGTAGTTAGTGGAGAGCGGTCCGACCGGTGACCACTCTCCATGGATTCTTTCTATGGGTTAAAAGTACCTATAATGGTTTTTGTATACTTGATTGATGGGTTGATGTTTAGCTACCATCTCCACTGACATAAATATACTATAAACACATGCCTGTCTACTCCTTGTAGAGAATGGGAGAGGGATGTTATGATAATTGAAACCCACTTAACTCATAGGTCACAAGGTCAATTCTATTTTCATTGTGGATCATGTAAATTTAATCTATGCTATGTATGTAAAGTAAATATATACAAGGTGCTCAATGAATTAATCTATGATTCATTGTTTTCTATCTTCTAAACTAATATCTGTAAATAATTTATAAATCAGTGCATAGTTAGTAGTATGTAATTGTGATTTAAATTTAGGAGTTCACAAGGGAGGTATTTTGGGGCCAACTCATATTATTTTGACGATCTACTCGTGACTTTCGGGAATTTAGCTTCTAAATAACATACATAACATAGCTTTTGAAGAGGTACGTAGTTAAGTACTAGACTTTTAAAGATTTAACTGCCAATTTTATTTACTGATCATAATCCCAAAAAACTGTACCTATCTAGGTTCTTGACAGAAACTCATACAACGAATGGTTATCTGAATGTATAGATTTTGTATTAATTTAAGACTGACTGCCACTAAAAAACTGTTTAAACCCCGCTAACGTCGGTCACCGGGACCCTATGGCGTTAAACGTGTTAAATCATAAGTCAATCTAAAGACTTAAATGAAAATAGCTCTGTCATAAGGCTGCATTCACACCTGCGGCGGCGCGTTGTCAAACGTGATTTGACACGTTCAGCGCAATTGCATTAGTGCAATCCGATCTATGGCATGTGGCGTAGTCGCGTGGACTCTGTTAAGATAATTATGTATCAAGTGGTTAACTGTTAGTGTTTGTACTTACTCCCGTGATATTCTCGGAACGTAATCTTTATACGTTATTTGGCAATGGATATACTAAAATTATAAATGCAAGTTATTATTGTAACTGTCTCGTTAATCGAACACTTTTAACTTCCAAACAAAGGATCTAAGTTCCATCTTCGAGAATACGAAAATAATTAGAAATTTAATTATGATATTAATAAAGTAGATGCCTAATTTTAATTCGAATGTCCGTCTGGTAGATTATCTTAAAACACTAATGTTTTTTTTAAACACGTATTTTTTATTTTCTTAGAGAAACGAATACTTTCGACGATATATTGATTTGAAATGTCGCGTGACGTCACTTCTATGCCATTTTATACGTAGAAATGACGTTTTAGCCCCCACTCCTAAACTTGATTCGTTTTAT